AACACCTACATCCTAGAATTGTTGTGAGGCTTAAATGAGATCGTTCTTAGAACCCACTTATAATAACGCCTTGCTTTCAGTATGAGCCCGATGTTAGCTACCATTCTGACTATTGTCAATACTGACCAGGCGTGTGACCCTAGGCAAATTGCTCGAATGCCGGCGGTGACAAGTTCTGTTGCCTGCAGCCCAGGCAGCAGCCATTGGACTGGGAGCTTTGTTGCCTTGCAGGAACACGTGCCCAGCGTTGCTAGGTCTCCCCCTTTTTAAAAAAGAAAAGTGAGAAATCTGGACCTGCATGTGACGTCACCTGGTTCTAAGACATTGGCAACAATTTCAAATATTTCATCAATGTTACAGGCAAAAAAAAAAAAATTAAAATTAAAAAAATATAAATAAACCACAGCATGAATCACCCACAGGCCACCACTTGGCCACCATGTCTTATTATAACACTTCCTATCTAAGGCCTCTACTACTTTAGGTACATTTAAATCCTTGTCCTTCTGAGAATCATAATTCTGTGTACTCTGTAAAGAATGACAAAGCCTCTGAGGCACACGCAGATGAAGTGTTAGATACAACGGTTGGTAACCGGTTATGCTCAGAGAGACACACACCAAGCGGGGGGGAATTTCAGAGTTTCCGCGTGTCTGCGGTTTCTCCTCTTGTCCAAAGCCGTGGGTGATGAATCAGCTCCAGGAGGTTCTCGCTGCTCCGTTCTGGGGTCTGGAAAACATTGTGGCCGGAATGCAGAATAGCAAAGATCCCCATGCACTTTTGAAACTGTTAATATGGCAGAGGGAAACAGACGGACAGGAAAAGCCACGCAGTTTAAGGGGCCAACCGTATCTGCCACCATCTCCCGAAGGCAGTGAGTCCCCTTGCTGCCTGAGGGGTTTCCTTTTTGCTCCCTGGAGCCCGATTTGAAGGTGAGCTTGCGTTTCCCAACAAGGCAAGTGCTGTGTGCTCCTGGCCTGCGCTCGCATTCCAGCTGCAGCCGTTCTCTGGGAACAAGGGCTGTTCTGTGTCGCTGGCACCCCTCTGTCATCACCCAGTGCCGCCCGCCCGCCTGCCATGCACACACCCTGCCTCATCTCAGGAACTCCTGACCAGGAGATAAGCTCCCTGTGAAGTCCTGCGGGGACATCCAGAGAGAGGGGACAAAGCCCCATTGTGTGAGCACCTTGACAGGGACTAGATCTCAGAAGGAGCTGAGAAGGCTCAGGCATCCCTGAGGAGGGAATGCAGGAAAGAGTGGGGTGGGGACAGGCTTTCTGGGGCAGGAGGGAATCCCTTCTGCGGACTGGATGTTTTGACCTTCCAAATTCATATATTGAGATCCTGACCCCCGACGGGTGGTATTAGGAGGTGGGGCCTTTGGGAGGCGATCGCATCCCAAGGGCAGAGCTCTCGAGAATGTCATGTGTACCCTTATAGACAAGACCCTGAAAAGCTCCCTCACCCCTTCCGCTAGGCGAGGGCACAGCGAGAAGACAGCCTTTGCTCTTGGACTTGTCAGGCTCTAGAGCTGTGAGATAGAAGCTTCTGTTGGTTCTAAGCCACCCAGTCTATGGGAGTCAGCCAAAGCAGCCCAAACGGACTGAAACATACCCGACTTGAAGCTCTTTCAGGGGTGCAGAGCACGGGCTCTGCATGCATCAGACACGTGGTGCTGGCTGGGTTTCAGAGGTCGGGGTCCCACTGCTGGTTTCTCACTGGCTGTCTTTGTCCCCTTAGATGCTTTCAGTCTTGCATTAGCCATGATACGGCGCAGGGGTTCTCAGGCTTCAGTGCACATAAAACTCCCCCAAGGGCGTTTAATAAAAATGCAGATTCTTTGGAGACTTGCCCAGGGATCCTGAGCCCGTACGTTCATGCTTTAGAATCACCAGGATATTGGTTACGGGACCCGTTTCTGGCCACCTGCCCACCCGAGCACCAGTCCCGGCCCCATCCTGTGTCAGGCCTGTGTTTTTGAGCAAATTATCCTCGCCGAGCATCGGTTATCTGATCTGTAGAGTGGGGAGCCTGATACCTCCCTTGGCAGGACTGCAAGCATTCCGTGTGCTTGGCACAAAGTAAGCATTCAGAGCGTGGTAGCTAAATTTACCCATCTCGCTGCCGTCGAGTGGAATCGGTTTAGCTGGTGTCTATAATAACTCACAGTTCAGAAGAATTGTGGTTGAGTAGCGTTGGGTGTGGAGGGGCATGTCCTACTTAGCCTTCATAAGCCTGGAAAAAAAAAAAAAACAAAAGGAGGATTATTTTGGAGTCTTTAACCATGGGCCAGACATCTTAAATTCCTGGTTTTATTGAATGTTCATGACAGCCTGAGATGCCAGCGGTCACCGACGGCTAACAGGAGGTAACCGGTGTTTATACCTGCTAAGCTGGTGTAATTATCATCATTGCCCCTTTTCACTTACCAAAAAGGTCCCAGACAATAAATTCAACATGGTCCCACCTAGTTACAAAGTGTAAATGAGAAAAGGAAAGCTCACAGAGGCAAGACGTTTTGCCCGAGGTGGAAAGTCTCCTAAGTGGTTGATACCTGCTGAGTCCCCAGCCCCGAGGATCTCAGAACAGACCTGTTAGGAGATGGGGCCTTTTAAAGAGGTGATTAAGTTAAAGTGAGGACTTTAGGCTGGACCTGATCCAGTCTGATGGGGGTCCTCGTAAGAAGAGGAATTTGAACCCACAAAGAGACACCAGGGGTGCTCATGCACAGAGGAGAGACCGTGTGAGGACAGCGAGAAGGTGGCCAAGGAGAAACCAACCCTGCCGGCACCTTGGTCTTGGACTTCCAGCCCCCAGAACTCTGAGAATACGTTTTCTATTGTCTGAGCCACGGAGTCCATGGTTTTTTTGTTACGGCAGCCTGAGCAGGTTAATATAGTAGATACACATGATTTAAGCCTGGGGCCGACCCCAAACCTGCACTCTTGCCCACTGGGTGAGCCTTCTTTGTCCTGTGCCAGGCCCAGAGTACAAGTGACGGCATCCATTCAGGTCCCTGGCTTGGCATCCAAACTCAGCTTCCGTTTAGAGGTCCCGTGGGCCCACGTCTCCAGCAGGCAGGAAGGCTGTGGGTGTTTCATTCCTTTGCGTTTCTGACGCCATGACGAGTTCATTGCACTTCCTGAGACACCTGGGGTGTGACGGCGACTGAGAGTAAGGCCCAGTATCCCCATGGTTGCAGCTTTCTGCTTCTGTCACTCATCAGAGTGCCAGTCTTCTGAATCCTCACCCTGGGCGTGTCTGTAGAGGCAGAGGTGATACCGTGGGGGGCCCATTGTCTACCTGCAGACTTGATGGGGAGGTCTGGCTCTAAAGGCCTTAGTCACAGGATTGTCACCTCCACACCAAAGCCGTTGCTGAGCACTCAAGAGCAAAGGCTCTCTTAACATCTTCAAAGCGAAGGACACGAATGCCCCTTCCAGCTGCTGAAGCTTAGCTCACGGCTCAGCACCCACCAGGAGAGACAGAAATGCCTGATGCATGCATGGAATGATAATAAACAGGTTCCTCCTCGCTCTCCACCTTCTTACGAAAGCTTAATTGCTTGTGAAAATTAGGCCTTTGGCCTCCGTGGGCTTGAGAACATCTGAGCCTGGCTTCCCGGCCTCACAGGCACGACTTGTGAGGCGCAAACAAGTTTCATCTCTCCAGGACCCGCGATCCCGCCTCTTATTTAAACAGTCAGCTTTGGGAATAGGAGTGTACACAGTCACTTGCAGCTCATTTCTGTCCCCCTCACGGTGCCCGCCAGGCGTAGCACTGGCTGCTGTGTCGGAATTCAGTGAACGTGCAGATGGATGGGTTTTGTTTTTAGTGATGACACAGGTGCTGATTTCCATCAACCGTGTCCGCGACCTTTAAAAAAAAAAAAAGACAGATGCTGAAAAAGGGTTCCAGTCGTTGTTAAGGTGGCACCTTTCAATTGCTGTCAGTATTCTTTTGATAGACATCGTCCAGCTTCCAAGGTCACTTTGTCTGAGGGGGGCCTGCGTGCTCAGTAGAGCTGCTATTAAATGACAGAGCACAGGTCTGTCGAGCGCAGGGCGCTAGGATCTAATCCTGGCTGCAGCTCCGTCTGGGTTACCTGGAACAGGCTCCTGGAGCTCCCTGGTCATCAGTTTCCCCATCTCTATAACGGGGATGATGGTAGTGTCTATGTCATGGGGTTGTTACCCGGGGTACATGGGAGTGATTACAGATAGTGAGAAAGCCAGTGCCTGGGACACGACCAGAACGCAAGAAGTTATTATTACTTAGTTACTAACTTTTACTAGTATTCTTGACTGTTCTTAACCTTGGTCAAGTAATACGGGATCAAGTGTAGAATAAACCAGAGGAAGGAATCTGCCTTGTTCTCGGGGCCAGAGGATTCTGCGTAATCATTCCCATGAATGCTGCTGTGACGGCATCTACGTACATTTGGGAGGGCCGGTACGTTTGGCAAGGAGGGCGGACGCCTCACTCGTAGGTACTGCAAGATCCTGATGGTCAGGTACTCCTTTGCCTGGTGTAATGTACGACCTGCACAGGGCTTGGCACACAGTAGGTCCTCAATAAATCATAGCTATTTTAGTTAGTGCTTTCAGGTTCCTGGGGTGTAGTATTTGCAGACTTAGGGAGAGCATGTTAGCATTTCATTGCCACGGCTGGAGTGTTAGTACAATGCATTTTGGTTCTATCAAGGTCAATCTTTGGGAAGGATATCAGTTGTTGCCACAATGATGCTGTTGTTGACACGGGCAGACCTTGAGATGTTGGGGGTTTGGTTCCAAACCACCGCAACAAAGCGAGTATTGCAGTAAAGCGGGTCACACAAATTTTTTGTTTACCTTTCACATAGTTGGTTAAGTCTGCACTAGCATGTCTAGAAAAGCAACAGAGCTTAATTAAAAAAATACTTTATTGCTAAAAAATGCTAACCATCATCAATCAGCGCCTTCAGCAAGCCATCATCTTTGTTGGTGGATGGTTCTCACCTTCAATTTGTAAAAACGCAATATCTGCAAAGCACAGTAAAGCGAGGCTCCGCCTGTATCACAGATCACCCCAAAACTCAGTGGCTTAAAACACTAAATACACGTTCCCTCCGTGTCTGAAGGTTGGCTGGGGGTTGGCCGATGTGGGCTGGGCTCGGGTTCAAGCTGCCAGTTGGGTCCAGGCCTGCTTCACCTGCCCCATCCTCCGTGGACCAGCAGGCACCCTGGGGTATGTTCTTCTCGTGCTGATGGCAAAAGCATCAGAGGCCATGCTCAATGTCACAAGCACATTTTGGACTCCTGCTTAGGTCATATAGGCTAACCTCCCGTTGGGCAGGCCTGAGGTCAGGGACGGGGAAGCTCACTCTACCAAGACATGCCAGGTCCCATGACCAGAGGGTGTGGCCACAGGGTGTGGCAGAGAATGAGGGCCAGGAATTCTGCCCCAATTCAGTCATTGCAATACCTGCTGTGAAAGGGTTTTCCTTGCTTTCTGGCAGCTCTATGGTTCCTGGTACCCGCATTAAGATTCTGGAAGCACTCCATCCACACTGGGGCCTCCAAGCACGTCGCAAATCCCCCTTTGGTCTTCAGCAGCCTCGCCTCTGACAGACAGGAATTTACTCTACTGTAAACCAGCAAGTCCCAGTTTAGACAGACACGATGGATTAGGCAGACAGCGTCATTGACCCGGTTCCACTTCGTTAGCCTTTGCAATTAAGGAGGGTGCTGCCGAAAGAGAGACCTCGGGTCCACACTCATACCCGTTGTCCTCCGGGCTGAGCCTCTGAAGGGAGAGTCTGATATCTCAGGTCGGCACGGAGGGAGGGGAGCAGAAATCTGTTGGCGAGTGAATCCTAAGTGTTAATGACATGGCCACTTGTGAGCCCTTTATCTTCTTGGCTGGGTAATTAACATGCTAAATGGATAGCATTTGTGCCTTTGTCTTCCAGAAGCGTTTTAATTTTAATGAATATTGGACCCCTGACCATGCGCCCATGGGGTCCGGGATCTTGGAACATCAAGTAAAGAGCCTGTGCGTCACTATATCATGATCAGGTTTTGTCAACACGGTTTGACGCGGGTTTCCTGCGGTTTCCCGAAGCAGGTCTTTTCCAGTGAAGTTGTTCTTAGGGGTTCAGGATGGCACTCTCCCCTTTCCACCCCGTTGGGATTCTGAGCACTGAAGCATAAGCCACAAACAATGGCCAAATGGCCTGTGAAGTACAGCTTAATTAGTCTGGGCACACACCCAACAAACGCCCCAGTGCAGTGCTTTGCAAGGACGCGGCTTTGAGAATGAGGCAAACGTTTGAGATGCAGCTTCCTATCTTCCCGTCAGAATCTCGATGGTGGGGTCTGAGTGGAGAGAAACAGACACACACTGACTCTGAGCTGAAAAGCAGATGGGGCATGCACTCACTAAGCCACATGCCTAAGACCTGATGCACGCTGCCCGTCACACACCAGGAGGGTGACCTTGGTTCCCACAGGCAGATGTCCCTGCCCCAGTGTGCTTGCTGACACAGGGAAACCGGAAATCCAGGGTCCGCTCCCCCTGTGTATGGGTGGCAGGGGCTGGCTGGACGGGGCTCCAGGAGGGGCAGCTAAACTAGGGCGCCTGCTAACTCGACAAGAGTGGCTGAGGAGGGTCTCACCCATCACCACTGCCAGGTGGTGCTAGCAAGGGTTGGAAGAGAGAGACCTGAAATATTTCCTTCAAGAATCCTCCAAGTCCCCCAAGGCTGCAATGTGGGGGGGGGGAGAAGCGTTCCTCTCAGTATTTTCCTGGGTCTGAGGAAAGTTCAGTGCCGGCTAGACTGTGAAAACTGGAGTGCGGTGTTCTCTTGGCTGTTCCCTTTGAGCTACACCCTTGGAGAAATGTTGGGAATTGGACTCAGAACTGAAGTTGGGGGAGGGGACTAGAGTCCCCCACCTCGAAAGAAAAGTCAGAACTGACCAGAGCTGAAAATGTTTCTGGTTTCACGGCTCTTAGACTCATCAGAATGATCATAAATAAGCATCACTGTAAAGATACCACAGAGGAGTGATCAAGAAATGAGTGACAGCTCACCTAGGGGAAGGGTTTCAAATGTTCTGATTTCTCAGTTCTTCGTGTGTGTGTGTGTGTGTGTGTGTGTGTGTGTGTGTGTGTTGAGAAAACATGAGATCTACCCTCTTCACAGAATTTTAAGTGACAATCTGTATTGTTGACTATGGGTTCTGCTTCGTATAGCAGATCTCTAACCAAGATATGGGAACATCCTAAATACCCATCCAATGGATGATGGAAGAAAACATGGTAGGGTGTAATATGCAGTAACATTTAGCCTTTAGAAACAAGGAAGCCTTGCCATGTGCAACAACATGGAGGAACCCTGAGGGTACGTTGCTCGGTGGCAGAAGTCAGACACAGAAGGACAAATCCTGCACGACTCCCTCTTTCTTTCTTGTTCACCGTACAGGCAGTAGGCTGGTGCTAATTTGCACGGCTTCCTAAAAGCCTGCATGGGAAAGTCGGCTCGGCTAAAGCAAAGCTGCTGACCTGACCGAGTTTGCACGTCGTGCCCATTCTCTCTAGGAGGCAGCTCGAGGTCGCTGCCCCAGAATGCCAAATCCACGACGGTTAAATTCAGAGCCGACATTGTGCAGACAAAAATAGCCTTTTATGTGCCGGGTTTCCTGTTTTCCTTGGAAACGTCTTGCTGAAAACCACCACCTCCTCCCCATCCTGTCCCTGCTCTGTACCTACCCTGTCTCCCACCCAAGGAGTTCATGTTTAATGACCCGAGACATGACCGCCGAGCATTTCCAGTCAATTGGCTTTTGTAGGGCGAATGAATCGGACTTTTCTCTGCCTCCTCTCTCCTGAAAAGCATCTTCCCGGCCGATTGGAATGCACTGTGCAAACCCAGAATTAAGTTCTTCTCTGTCTCCGTCTCATTCCTTCCTTCATTCTTTCTGAGATCGGACAGACACAAGTTGGTTGCCCTGCCCCTCCCTCATCGGGGCTTTACATTCTCCCAGGGTTATTTCTAATCCTCTTATGGACTCACCTCCTTCCTACAGAGGGTGTGGGCATGCTTTGAAATATTCAGCAAGGGTGCTTTTTTCTTATTACTTTACACGTCATCATTTTGCATGATTTCCATGCAGATGTCCCCTTAACCTCTTAAAGAAAAATTGAGCTCCTAAATCATCTAGGTGTTAGGAGGGCTTTGGAGATGGGGCCACACTGTTCTCGTGTCTATGGGCTGGGGGAGACAGAGTTGGGCACCCCCCCGCCCAGGGGGTTGCTTAAGCACTGAGGAGATCTAGCTTTGTTCTAAATGATGCTGGGCCCACCACTCAACGTGTATTTTCTCTTTTCTTCCCACAGGACCCACACCCAAGCCCGCTGATCACCCTGGAGACCCAGGTCAGTACCTTTCCGTGGTCTTTGTCACTTATCTCTGCCTTGATGTTCCTGTACCAGCTCTCCAGGGAGCGTTTGTGCGACCTCTTGGCTCCGTGGCTCAGAAAGGAAGCATGCTTGAACAGGACTATGAGGGTGCCTTCCTGCCCTGTCGGGGTGTGTGCATGCATGCACACATGCGTACACACCAGCTGATTGTGTGTGTGTGTGTGCACGTGCGCATGTGCACACATGCTTGTGCAGACCCAGGTGTCTGAAAGCACCATGGAAAGAACCACACCCATTTCTTTTGAGGTGTCCTCTGTGTTTTGCTTCTGTCCAACAAACAAGAGATGGTGAGTGGAAAGGGAGAGAGGAGATGGGGAAACCATGCAGCCGGGATGTGGTCGTTCTCTCATGTCTTTGCATTTGGAGAACTTTTCTGTCTCTGGCAGAGAGGGCAGCAGGACTGGCTATGAGCACAGGCCTCAGAGTCCAGGAGACCCAGGTGGAATCCCAGAGCTGCATCTTCTTAACCTCTTCACCGAGAGGTCACAACCTCTCTGCCTCGGTCTTCCCATCTGGAATATTCCCTCAGTGAAAGTGCTCACCTTGCAGGGTTGTGATGACAAGGACGGGGAATGGTGACTCTGAAGCCATCAGTCCTTGGGAGTGCTAGCTCTTTAAACCAATAGAACTGTTGTTACCTTTCCAACCGCGCTTGAAAGGGGCATGGCTTTGGCTAGACCGTGTCCTTAGCTCTGTGGGTGGGTCAGAGAGGAAAGAAAGAAGACAGACAGGATGAGGCCACCCGGAGACCCGCTGACAACTGTCGAGCATCAGAGACAGGCGAACCTATTGGAGCATTTCAAGGCTAAATGGCAGCTCCCAGTGGTTCTGGAACTTTCTGGAAGGGGCCACCTGCCCCTCTCCGTCTCCCCCTTCCTCTGTGGGCTCCGCGCTCTCACTGACACCCTGACTCCTTGGTCTTTCCAAGGGGGACAAGGAACACACCCACCCTACTCCTCTTTCCTTGATCGGGAAGGGCAGATGTGAGGAATGTGGATTTTCAGGGTTTCTTTATGTTCTTCCGTCCTCGCATTTCCCGCACTTACACCCACTTACATCGGCCTCAAGGATGACCAGACAACAGAGCTGGCAGGAAAGAGCGCTGGGTGGGACTTCGAGGGGGTTGAGGACCCAGTTTCCTCCGCCTGTTCGTCCATCCCCTGGTCTGGTTTGTCCCAAACTTCCGCCGTTCACATATCGCCTCAGCCCTGTTTGCCATAGATGAATTGCAGCTGCTTTATTAAGTCACGGTAAAAATACACTTTTCTTTAAATTAGCGTATTTCACTTTCAGAAGCGTACTTATCCTAAGGTAATGGTTCCCAGCCAGGGGCATCTTCGACCCCCAGAGGACGTTTAGCAATGTCTGAAGACGTATTTGGTTACCTACCCTTGGGGGATGGGATATACTGGCATCAAGTGGGCAGAGGCCGGGGGTGCTGCTAAACATCCCCCAACGCACAGGATGCCCCCCAGCAAGAACTTACCTAGCCTAAAATGCCAGTAATGCTGCAGTTGAGAAATACCAGCTCAAGCAATAATAATATTGGTGAAATTGCAAGTTTGACAGGCTAGTTATATTTTTTTGCAAAATATTAAAATGAATATTAAAAACATTTTGAAGTTCCTTTGGGTGGCCTCTGAAACCGCCTGAAAGTACGCCCCGACGTACAGGGGCCACACTTTGGGAAACGTGTCTCTCCCCAGGCTTACCCAGTGGATTATGGGAGAGCTTCCAGGACGCCTTAAAAATGTTGGCCCTTTTCTTCTTGATCAGTCCTTCCCCAGTCAGCCCATGAAAACCTCTACGGGAACGAACAGTCACCTCCCAATGGCTTTGGCCAGTACGTTGTGAGTGTGACAGCTCACTTCCACACGGTGACCTCTCTAAGAGTCATGTCCATTAGCTCAGGGGACCCGAGCCTCGGGCACAAGGCAGGCTTTCTGCACTTGTGCCCTGCCATTGGGGAAATGACTCAGTTCGTCCCCAAACAGCACTCCATCGGTCGCATCTGGTTCTCGGTCTTTGGGGAGCCGTAGGATGTTGTTGTCTTTCCCCGAGTGCTGATTTCCCGTGTTAAAGAGACATTGGAACCCAACCAAAGCGCCTTTTTTAAAAAACTGTTGGCACAAGCCTGTGGCCAGATCTTGCTTTGTGCTGGGCCTCAGCCCAGCGTGTGACTCACAAGGGACTCTTATTTGGCTTCCTGCAGGCAGGTTAGACAAGAGGGGCAGGGAGGGGTTTTCTGGCAGAGAGCAGTGCCCCAAATATTACCCATATGTCACGAGCAAGATGGCAGATGTGGCTGAGCTTGGAGGAGCCAGCCGTGCAGGGGAGCGGCAGATGTGCTCCGAGCCCTGGGCCGGGGTTGACTTCCTCCCCACAGCACCCATTGTTCCTAAGAAAGATATCACCTGTTCCATCCTGGGGCACAGGTGCCACAGGTGGGCCTGCCTTTTAGATTTCACTGCCAGCGATGTCCGTATGTCACACAGCAGTGTCTCCGCTTGCCCAGGGCCTAGCCCTCATGGGACCACTGGGCCACCTGGGGGCCCTCCCCTCCTTGCATCCCTCTCCCCGTGTTCACTGCATCGGCCCCTGCCCGTGCTCGGTGACGCTGTTCCCCGCAGCTGTCCTGAGTTGGGGGAGATGGATTGGCTGGCTGCTGAGGACATCTCTAATGCTCTTTCCATCAGCACAGCAGAGCTTTGCATCTGTTGGCATCAGCAGGACTCTCTGCTTAATGGCCAAATGGATAGAATGAGGAAAAGGTGGCAATCTGTGGTGTCAGCTTTGCCCTCAGCAGGCGGCCCCTGGGGTGTACCGAGAAAGCCCCGACTTGCAGCGGCAAAAGCTTCCCTGGTCTCCAGATGGTTCTTACCATGGAACCAGGTGATCTAGAAATAGGGGAAAACAAGTCTGAAAAAAGTTTGAATTTGGTTATCAGCTTGGTGGCATTATCACAATTCCTCACTCACTGCCGTTTGCCGTTTGCTGAGAACTCACCTCTCCCATTGAATCCCGGGATGCCACAATGGCATAGGTGTTCTTAGGACACCCGCTTTCCAGATGAGGAACCTATGGGTCAGAGAGGTTAAATAACTTGCCCAAGGTCACACAGGAAGCATATGGCATTAGTGGGTGTCAGACTCAGGGCCCTGTGGCGTCAGAATCTTACCTTCTCAGCCCCTGTCCCATTTTTCCAGAAAATAAGGTTGGCTTGACTAGTAGAAAGATTTGCTAATGATCAGGCAAAGCTGGGGCAGTGGGCTTGACGGTACAGCCCAAGTGATTGATTGATAGATAGATAGATAGATAAGGTAGATAGATGATAGGTAGATGGTTGGATGGATAGATAGATGATTCATGGATAGATATATGGATAGATACATGGATGGACAGATGACAGATAGATAGGAGGCTAGATAGGCAGATGATAGGTAGGTAGGTGGACGGATGGATGGATAGATAGATAATAGATATGATAGGTAGATAGATAGCTAGATAATGCTTTGTACTTAGATAAATAGGTAAAGCAAGAGAGAGATGATGAGTGGGTAGGTATATAAATAGATACCGTGCTTTGCAGTGAGTAATTCTTTGACAGATAGATTACCATAAGACTTATAGGCAAAATGGTTTAAGCAATGGACCCCACTGAAAATTTATTTGCAAACAACAAAAATGAAACCGCTCCCTGTGCATCAATAGTGTTTTGATCAATTTCAGTGCTCGTTATTTGATTCTTTCCTTCTCATTGATCCGCACGGTGGATTATCGTGTCTGAATGCACTCCAGTTGGCAAGGCCTCTTGTCATTTAATTTTAGCTTTTCTGCCTCCCCCCCCCCCAACCAATAGCTTCATTGTCAGTTAGTTAATGGCCTCCACTCAAACACTGAGGTACCCGGGGAGTTGTCATAAAGGAACGCTTCAGGAGAGTCAAGAGTTGGGTGTTGGTGCGGTTGGCTCTGTGTAGAGGGGAGCAAACCGTGGTTGACTTGAGACCCCTGAAGATCAAGGGCATTAGGAGGAAAACTGATGGCTTGGCTTGCAACCACCAACCAGGTACTTCCTTGACTTTCTTTGACCAGCCCACTAGGGGACTAAGAGGAGAGAGTTACATGATAGTATTTAAAGATGGTGCCAGGGCCCTAAGGATTGTGAACGGGGCTCCATGAGGTAAATGAGTAGTGTGTGAAAGGAAATTAATACTTTAGAAACTATACTTGTGTAAATCCACCCATCCATTTCTTGTTCAATAAATAGTTTTTGGACCAGGAAGAGGCCAGGTCTTGTGCTAGGTGCTAAAGACATAGCAGCGAACAAGAGAGAAGGTCTCCTGCCCAGAGCACATCCATTCGGGTTGGGGGGCGTCAAACAGTGAACTGACAGATGAGTAAAAATGCCGCTAATTTCAGGTGGTAACAGTGAACAGAAAAAACCAGAGTGAACAGAGTGAACTGGGCTCCCTGGGGGGAGTTATTCAGGGAGGTGTCTCTCTCTCTCTCTCTCTCTCCCTTCCTCTCTCTCTCTCTCAGCAAATTTCCAGCTTAGCAGGTGAGATTTCAGCCGAGAGCTTGCAGTTGAGAAAGAGTTAACCAGGCAAGGAGACCACAGCAATACAGTTGTGAAATGTGTGCATATTATTCCTGACTTCCTATAAAAATGACGCCAGTTTTCCTTAGACTCAATTAAAGCGTTATTTCCTTCAAGCTCCCTCAATGCCTTTGTGTCATTATAACGTCAAGATGAATAAGGAGTGACCTTGTCATGCAAGGGTGAAAGTAAAGGACTGAGGGGGCAGAAGGGAGGAACAGGGGCTTAGATTTGGGGCTAACGTCCAGGGCAGTCGTTCTGACGGGACCAAGGGAACCTCAGATCTTAGCGATGTCATGCTGAGAGTGGGGGTTTAAGGTGAGAAATCCAGTTAGCATAGATAGTCCTCGTTAGCTGA